CCCTTGCCATGCACCTTAATGTTGTCGCTCTCTGCATTCGCTAATGGTACCTTTCTTTTTCTTACGTATATTTTACCATCTTTACTCTGACTTACGTAATAGAAAGGATGTTGTATTCCTCTTGCGTCATTTAATATAATAGACTCTCGCTCTGATTTTGACAAGCTCATTTTACATCGGTTAAAGTTTTAATTTAGTTTTTTATCTGCAGTCAAATGACTCAGACAAGCCCTACGGACAAGACCCAAGGTGTCATAGATGTTGAAGCATTGAAGAAAGAAATTCGCGAGCAAATTTTATCCGAACTGAAGGAACAAAAAACAAGAACAAAAGCCAGAGAGACCAAAGAGAAAACTTAGTGAAAAACAACTAGCTGCATTAGCTGCTGGAAGACAGAAGAACCCACGTTTGCTGGCGAAAAAAGCTAGAGAAGAAGCAAAAGCTAAAGAAGCTGAAGCAAAGAAAGAGTAAATGGTTTATTTTTATCCGAATTAAATGTATAGACAAATACCTTTTAACTGTTGCGTTCAGTAGTGAAAACCCTGACGTCAAAAATAAAGGGGAACAGAGTAACGTTTAAGTTTCCAACAGACTGGATTGTGAACATAAATGAAGAGAAGTACATTGGCATAACATCTATGTATATAACACGTGCTTTCAGAAAGGTTGACTTTATACTTCAAGTCGAGATAGAAAATGGACGAACAGTCTTTAAGCGCCCAAAACATTCACATATACAAATACTTTAAAGACGATACAACATTGCAACAATGTATGATTTCATTTAATGAGATTGTTCGAGAAAAAGTTCAACATTGAAGTACAAACTTTACAGCCTTTACGTGAGTTTCTTGCACAACTGAAAGAAGAAGGTAGTCAGCCACAACTTATAGACTTTCATTATGAATTTAATGAAAATGAAGATGGAACTCATGACTGTCAATTCATTGTATTCTCACCATTCAATGAAGTCGCTAAAAAGAAAGAAAATCCATTAACGTATAAGATTTCAAATCTCCGAGCCAAGTGATGATTTTAAGAATGTTTTCAATTATGATGCAATGCTTCCGAGGAAAAATGAATTTTCAAAGATTGTAACACCTGGCATTTGGATAGAAAGCAAGCAATACTTTACTCTTAATATAGCCAAAGGCGTTGAAAATGAGTTCATTGGTCATACAAGAACTTCACCACTTCCTAACCCTAAATACTATAAATTAACTGGCTTCAATCGTGAGTTTTGGATAGACATGTACTCCACTCATGACCATAAATGTCCAGTGTTCTTGCCTCCAGATGGGAAGGACTGTCTCTACATTGAAGCACAACTCTTAAACTCTACCATCGCAGTATTGTAAAATCTACGCTAGCTTTATTTTTATCACGAATGACCTCATTGCTGACAAAAATAAATGACCTCAGAACTTCAACTTACGAATAAAGCTTGTTTTAGTCGTTATTGAAAAGTTGAACTTTTCAGCAAAGCAAGGTTGAATGACTTACATAAGTCGAATGCAATCTCTTGACCATCATGAAGTGCTTTGTAAAGTTTCATTAAACTGAACTCAGAGTCTTTGTCATATGTTCCAACAGGTATGTGAATGTTCTTATCTTCATTGTAATAGCATTGTATAGCTTCAGGAAACATTTCATTAGCGGTTAAAGCAATAACATCTTGCTTCACGCCTTTCATTCTGCAGTGAAATGCAACTTCATTTAAATCGTTAGTGAGTAAGTCTATGTAGGTCTTCTTTCCACAGAAAATACTTTTATAAGCTAAACTTTGTTTTCCAGGTGTTATTTCTGCAAAGTCGCTATGAAATTGACCAAGGTTCTTTCCTATAAGTTCGCGACCATATCTCTTCTTAAACTCTGCTGCAAGCTTTGGGATGTCTTCATTATATAAGTGCATACTGTCGGTATCCTGGTAAAAGATTTGAAGTCCCATGTCCTCTGCAGTACAGAATACTTCATTCATAATACGTTTTGACATAGACAGAATATTAACACCAAGTGGACAGAAGTTAAAGTGTCTGCAAATGCTTTTCGTTAGCTTGAAAATAGTTTTATCTGAACCATCCAAACCTTCGAACTTCACTATATGGTTGTAATTTCTTATAGCATATCTTATAGCATCTTTGTCATCTACTATGGTTATTTTTGACTCAATAGGAGATAGAATAGTTTTGCCATAAATGCTGTTCAGAATGAGTTTTATAATTTCTTGTAAGGGGTTTTCTTCTTTCTTATACTTTAACCTTAACTCAAACAACTTCTTTACTTCATCTCTTATTCTCATATCTCTGTTTCCATCGTAATAGTATCCTTGCAACACTTCACATTTGACACCTTGATATTTTATGAGGTCTTGTAATGTTATATGGTCAACATACATGAGACAGCAAGTGTTTGAACTTCTTGGAACGTTAAGTTCTGGATTTAGTTCAGGGTCGCAAACTATTAAATGAAAGTGTCTGGGTATACCAATCTCTGTTATCTTAATGAGAACAAAGAAGCCAGACATAAACTTTTCACCAATGGGTTCCTTTTGGTCGTCATCGAATAAATGTCTCATGAGATACTCTGTGCTTAACATTTCTTCCTTCAATACTTTTGGAATACCTTCTAAAGTATAAAGTCTTGCTATAGCTGAAGGATATAATGAAACAGTGTCGAAGTCAGCAATGAGTTTCTTTTTGCTCTTTTGTTTCATGTTATCTGACAACATACATCTTCCACCTTGAATGCATCTCGAAATAAATTCTCTTGGTTTATTTGAGAGGTCATAAAGATTTCCATTCGGGAAGTATACTCTGTTCTCAAACAATTTGTTAGCAATAGAACAAATACTAACGTAGTCATAAACGTTTAAATCAAACTCTTTCAATAAGTCATTGCGGAACTTTACAAAACCTTCTCTTAAAATTCTTACATCTTGTTTGCAGTAAAACGTGCTATATTTTTCTAAGTCGAAGTGGTTTTCATCTATTCTGCAACCTTTGATGGAATCTATGTTCTTCATAAATGTATCTGCATCATGGATAAACTTACATGCTTCAGAAATGACACCAGTTCTGTTGTCATTTGCTAACAAAACACTGCTGTAGTAGTTATATGGAAATACTTCTTTCGGTCCTGTTTGTAAGTTAAACATAGCAGGAAATAGTTTAAGCTTCTTATTTATAACACTGTAAGAGTCTTTTATAATAATTGCCCTTCCTTTATATAAACCAGTTATTTGCATTGTTCGTGAACCTTTAATGATGGGAGTTCCTTTCACTTCTGTCATGTGTCTTAAGATGAAGTTTATGTCATAACTGAGGTTATGGAAATATATTAAACTCTTGTCAGGAAGTCTTTCCAAAAATTCTGTTGCACAGTTTTGACCCCAAATACTTTCACTAACTGAACCATCTTCACTGTCATAACAGATGTTAAAAGCTTTATGAAAGCCATCCGTACTACACTCAAAGTCAGCAAAGAAAACGTGCTCAGGTATGAACTTACATTTAGCTTTATTTACTTCTTTTGACTCTGCTTTCTTCTTCAGTTGTACACAATACTTTGGAGCATATGTCAAATCTTTAAATGGTGCAAGGTTCTGTTTATATAAGTCAGTCGTATATGTGAAAAGTTCTCCATAAGAAATAGGTTCAAAATATTTGCACTCCCACAATGTTTTCATAACATCCCATAGCGGTGTAGTTCTATCCATGCGAACTACATATTTATCTTCTCTCTTTGTATATATTTTCATCTGTTTTTCAATGTTCATTCCACCACACTCCTTCAAGATTTCTATATAGTTTCGAATGAAATATGTTGTCATTGGAAGTCTTTCATTTAGCATGTAGTGGTCTTCAACAAGAAGTAAGTCAATAGTTCGAACAGTTTCACATTCTTTTGGTATGTATCTCTTTATTTCATTATGTCTTGAGTCATTGAAGTAACCAATGGTAACATTAAATGCTATACCTGTTGCGTCAGAAATTTCTTGTACTTTACTTTGAGGAAAGTCTCTAACACGAATGACTTCTCTCATGTGGTCAATAGTTTCTTCATTTACTCCAGCCTGAATGCAAGCATAAACGAAGCAGTTATCTTCTGTCATAAGTGTTGCAGTTCTTTTGTTCAGTTCATTGAAGATTTGGTAGCGTTCAAGATTTATAGGTAATGTGCAAAGATACTTCCAGAACTGACCGCTTCTCTTCTTATAAAACTTCTTTTCACCATTATCTTTCCAAAAGCTTTCTATAAGTGCTGGGTTTCCTGTTTGCTTAAGAGCTTCCAAAATGGCTTTCTGGTCATTTGTCAGTGTGCTTTCATCTCTATATGGTCTCTTTTTTGGTTTGCCTTTCTTTACATCTGACATCGTTAAGCCTTCATATTCTGTTAAATCATACATCTTTATTTCGTAAGATTCTTTATGTTTGTCAAGAAGAAGTCATAGTGCATTTCAACAATACCTGCAGCATTTGCTTCTATCTCTGATATAAAGTTCTCCTTCAAGAGCTGATGTAGTAATGTTCCAATATTATTGAGGTTTAACGTAGAACATTCATACTTTCCACCAAGTTTATAACATACCATCCATCTCTGTTGGGAGTTTATTTTAATTTTCTCTAAGAGTCTCATGAAAACCTTACCGAAATGTTTGTGTAAGTAGTCTCTGTTTGGTTCATCTAAAGCTTCGATGTTAAAGTCAATGAGTCTATTGCCTGACTTCACATTCCTCTTCCTATTTTCTTCATCTTTCTTTAACCATCTCTCACCTTCTTTTGGTTTGTCGTCAATGGAACGAATGACATTATTAGCTTTGCGAACTTGTTCTATAGCACTTTTAAACATCTCTCTTCTCTGTTGTTTCAGTGTGTCATCTCTCTTTCGTGTTTCACCAACGTTTGCATTTGTTATGTCAAACATTTCTCTTCTTACTTCATGTGGTACAGCTCTTCTTGTTTCACCAACGTTTGCATTTGTTATGTCAAACATCTCTTGACGAACGTCATGTGAAAGAGCTTTACGAGTATGACCAACGTTTGCATTTGTTATGTCAAACATTTCTCTTCTTACTTCATGAGGTATTGAACGTCTATGATATAAGTCAATAGCAACGTCATTTAAAGGAAATGCTCTTGCATGGACTTCGTCCTCGCCGCGTTGCGGCTTTATGAACTCATGAATTCTATCATAAGTTATTTCACCATTATAGTCATTGAGGATGTCAGCGAGTGCCTTTTTGTTTGTTGTGTAATGCTTTGCAACATCTATATTAGCTTCTGTAAGAAGTTGTTTTATTTCCGAGTGTTCTAACTTAGACAACTTCCGATACATCTTTAGTAGGAAATAAAAAAATATTTTTGAAAAAATTAGATTAGATTTTTTTAAGTTATTTTTCAAAATAATTTAATATTTTTATTTTAATGAAACACATGCAAGATTGCAAGTTCTTTTCATACAATGCTCTCGCTACTGTCATCAAGAATGAGTTCAATAATGCTTCAAACGTCAATGTTATCTTTAACAAGAAGTTTGTGAAAGAATCTAAGTTTGGTCAGTATGTCAGACCATTAGCTATTGTCATTGACCGCAAACGTTATACTTCACAAGAGTTAGCAGTAGTTTTGAAACAAAAGGGTTTCTTCGTGAATGTCAAAGATACTCATTATACTATTATAAAGAACTCCAACATTGACTTCTTCAGTATTGCTATGAATCTTTCCGAACAGAAAGAATATAAGAAGGGTGAAACAAATGTGAAATATTATTCTTCATCTCTGAAAACAATAACGAACAAAGATGTTATACAAAAGTTCTTACCAAAGGTTGAAGAAGCTTCTATTGACATTGACGAAGGAAGTGAAATGGTTGAAGAAATTGACCCTGACGTCATTTAAGCAAAAATATATTTTTGGTTAGTCTTCATATCGATATTTTACAACAATTCCCCAATGTATAAACTTTTCATACGCTTTTTCATAAGCTTTATATACCTTCAGAAATTTTGCATAATCTTTAGAAGCATTTAGATATTGTTTAAATGCTTTGTATGTCTTCAGAAATTTTGCATAATCTTTTACATGTTGTTCGTTCTCTTCTTCTGTCATGAGTTCCGAATATTCTAAATTCATGTTCTTTCATATGAGATAAAATTTTATAAAAAAAATAAAATTAGCTTAGATTTTTTTATTCTTCCTCTTTGAAGTTATCGAAATATTCTGTTATTTTTTCCTTCAGTAATGTTAAGTCTTCTTTGAATGTAAGTATTGTGCAACCTTTGATGTCATAGTGTGTTTGAGGAAGAGTATTTTTGACAATTTCCTTTATTTGCTCATTCGGTGTCATTGAAATCGGTAAGTTTTCACGATAGAACCAGTTTCTGTCAGATTTGTAAATCTTAGCAAGGTCATAAAAGCTTTTGTTGTTTCTTCTGACTAAATGCAACATAACCATATCTCTATCTTCTTCTTTCTCCAACTCTTCAGTATATATCATATACTTATAACTCTTTTCCTTTCCTTTTGGTACCGAACGTGGTATTCTTTTCTGTATGCTTTTGTCTTTGGATTCAATGACTTCATCTTTTGCTTGAAGTTTCTTTTCCATCTCTCCACGTTCTTGTCTATGAATTTCGTCAAGAAGTCTGTAAACATGCCATGCATAACGAGGAGAAGCCCACATTGCAACTGCATTTACTAAAAGTCTATGAACATAATAACCTCTTAAATTTATTGGCAAATTTTTACGATTTTCATGTGTTTTATGCAAGACCGAAAAAAGTCGGTCTAGAGAAATTTCACTCAAAAGTTCTTGTGTGCTTTGGTTTTTGAACCAGTCGTCTGCGTGTTTAGTGTCTGGAGCAAAACATGCTGTCAAAATACTTTGCATTTGGTACATATCGTCTTTGACCGAACGAATGAGACGGAGTTGTTTGTTAAACTGAACCCACTCGTATTCTTCATTTATGGCTTCATGAACGATAGCAGTTGTTGTGTTCTCTGTTGTTGACATATCTGTCCTTACATACAAAATAAAAAAATAAATAAAAATAAAACTAACTTTATTTTTCTGTGTTAAAGAAATGTTAAAAATTCAGGGTTACATATGTGAAAAGAAGTCACGAACAAATGAAGGTCATAAGATTCAGCACATAATTCTGAATTGAATGGTGTGTCATACATGTCAAGCCGTCAAGAATTGAAGGAGATACGAGGCTATAAAGATTTTGGATATTTTCTGACACACACCCTGAGGGAAAAGTGACAAAACACGACGATAGAAAAAAGTGACAAAATTGAGAGAAAGTTGTTTCCCGACCAAAATGCAATCATGTTGAAAAAGTGACATTTGTAAAGTTAGACGATAGGATTTCCTGAAAAAGTGCAAGACTTGTTCTGAATCAGGACAAGATTTGTCTTGAAAAAATACAAGACTTGTTCTGAAAAAATACAAGACTTGTTCTGAATCAGGACAAGATTTGTCTTGAAAAAATACAAGACTTGTCTTGAAAAAATACAAGACTTGTTCTGAAAAAATACAAGACTTGTCTTGAATCAGGACAATTGTTCTCAAATTTGAGAACTTTACAAGAAAAACTGACTAAAAAGTGCAAGACTTGTTCTGAATCAGGACAAAACTTTACAAAATGTAAACTTTACATAACCGTTTCTATCGTACATGATATTTAGTTGACATTGTAAACTATCTTCATGTAAAGTATGGCGGTTTGAAACCGTCGGGAACCTTCACTTTTTTGACGAACTTTCCGCAGCAATTTTTAAAATTTGTGAAAACTCAACGGTTTGACACGTGCCATATGTCATTTTACTCAGAATTTTGTGCTGAATTCAGCAAAAATAATGTTTATGTTAGCATGTTAGATCTAACACGTTTTCTAACCTCTTTTCTAACATAACTATTTACAAGCGTTTTACATGGTATATGTTGCGATGGTTCATGACTTTAAACAGTTTTGTAGCTTCTATTTCTTCTTTTAGTACATCGAATGTTTTAACAATGCCGAAGGTTTCTTTATATTTCTTCTTGACGTCAGATAGAAGGAAATCGTCAGCAGTTGGATAATTTTTGTTCAGAAATGCTAACATGTCCATTTTATCTTCTGCTGGCTTTTCTACTTCTTTCTTTAAATCTGCATAGTCGTTTCTCATTCTTTCTATCTCTTTGACGGAGTAGTTATATTTCCTCATCGCTGCCTTACATTTTGAACATTGCGGGTTCATTTTTGCGTTATACATTGAAATTTGACCTGCTAAAACAACTAAGGCGTCAATTGCTCTCTTCATCTCAAACATAGCGGGTCTTAGTTGTTCGTTCCATACTTTGCCTCTTCTATCTTTATCTCTTATTTCCCAAACACATTCAGCAACTAATGAAACAAAGTTATCGTAGGTCTTAAATTCTTCAGATTTATATATGTCAGAAACATTCTTATAAACCATGTCGCAATCTTTGTCCATAACTTTATGGTTGCAATGAAAACCAAGGAATTCATAATTTACTTTACGTATGAACTTCTTTATTTCTACTGAGTCAGTTGTTTTGACTTCAATTTCGTCGAATTCAGGAATAGTTAGTTTTTGTTGTTGGATTTCAGGCAATTTGGGTAAATGGTCAATAATGTCCTGCATTTCATAAAGATACTGTTCATTTGTTTCATCTTTCGCACTACAGTCTAAATTACTTGTTAAAAGTTCTTGCTTTATCTTCTGGATTTTTGTTTCGAAAGTATATGAAGAAGGAATGAAGCTTTTCATCTCTACTAACATAGATGTTGGATTCATGACTAACGAGTTTGGTGCTGTAGTTTGAATTGTTGTTGTGCCGATTGTTGAAATCATATCTTTACATACAAGATAAAAATTTTTCTTAGAAAAAAATTAGCGTTATTTTTCTTTCATAAGGAAATGTCAAAAATTCATGATTTTCGAGAGTTTTAGACCATGTTAGAAAAGTGGTTAGAAAACGTGTTAGATCTAACATTCTAACATAAACATTATTTTTTGGTGTAAATAAATGGTACCATTAATGATATCATGACTGTTCTCATTCATGTCTGATTTACATCTAATGAAAAAGTTTAGAAGAATTTTCTTATTCTTTCTGGCATATTTTTGTCTTTCCAGTACTCCCGCTCTAATGGTCCCAGATGTGTTGGCTTTGACTCTCTCAAGTTCTTAGATGGTATAACATCTTCAACACCTCCTTCATATCTTACTTTATAAGTGTCATCGTTTATGTTGTAGCCAAGTATTTCAATAACCACTCCTCGCTTTGCTTCGTCAATGGTTTCAGCAAGTTTGCCATTACTACTTTCAACTAACTTATGTCGAGGGTAAAATGCTATGGAGTCGTCAGCAGCTTTTATAAGATATCCATTACCTTGTGTAGAGTCTACGATATAATAGTTTCTACTTAACCTTAAACGTTTCTTTGTCAACGGTTTGTCGTCAAGAACTACACGAACTTTTGTACCAGGAATGAGGGTAAATTGTGTTGAATTTCTGATATTTTGTGTTTGGCTTCGTTTCTTTTGTATATACTTTTCTTCTTGTTGTTGTGTCATTGAATTTGGTGTATGTCCTGTTGTAGAATGTGTTGAGGAATTATATACTTCGAGAAAATGTTTCATTGTTTCTTCGGTAAAGTCTCGCTCTTGATTTAAATCTCTGAGCGTTCTTATGAAGCGGTTTATGATGCCGAGTATGTTATGGTTATGGTCTTCAGTAGTGTAGTGAGTTATGTTATGCTTAATGAGAAATTCTGTGATTTCATTGCTGAGGTATGCACTGTCTTGGTCTGATGTTAAAGTACTTGGGTTATGTTCTGCTACAAACTTTTGTAAAACTCTTAACACTTCACGAGTTCCTTTATTTTTCATTGGATATGCATATGCTTTACGAGTGTTAACATTTATGAAGATGAGGAATGGTTTATGTCCTCCTTTTCTGCTTTGAATGAGAGTGTCAAATTGGTATGCGTCAGGAGTGTTGGAGTAAATTGGTAAAAAGTAGTCGTAAGGGTTTATTTTTGTTTGATGTACAACATTTTTGTCAAAGAACCTTTTCACTTCAGCTCTGTTAGTAAATCCCCAACTCTTTGCAGCTTCATTGAATTTCTTAAATGACCTCCATGGATGTTGTTCGAATACTTCTTTCAAGCTCATTTATGTAAAGTTAAAGATTTTAACCAACTCGTATCCAAGCGTGCATTGTTATATAAGGAGGCATATAATCTTTTCCATTACCTGCTGGGTCTGTAATACCAGCTACAACATGTGTATGATTTCCTGCAGTTCCACAGAAAATACCTGTGCTAACATCTTTGGGGTCAGTTGTGATATCATATCTATGCATTCCCTGTCTATCCGAACCCGCTGCAAGATTTGTATAACCTCTTTTTGTTATTGAATGTGAATGGTTTCCTTCCACAGATGTTCTTCCACTGAACCTATGCATATGTGAAGGAAGGTTTTCAATACCTATTTTCTTTGAACCTCCCATCTTCATTGACTGAGTATTAGTGTAGAATGGAAAACTGTCAACTATTTCATACCATCTACCACCAAATAAAGTGTTTGGATTTATTGGATTCATAGACGTATAAACAGCTCCTATAGGATATATTAAATCATATATGCTCATAACTCTATAAACATATTCTAAAGAACTTATGTCATTAAATACCATTTGGAATGTATCTCCCGGATGAAATGTTGCATTTGTTCCACTTTTATAATGTAATGTTAGTTCAATAGAATTATCCAAGAAAAATTCAAAAGTATCTGGTTGAAGACCTCTAACAAATTCAAATGGAGTTGCTGGTTCACCATTTATAATTTCTGTTGTAAATGTCATTGTATCTGGTTTCGAAAATTTCTTTGTTAGTTCTTCATCTACATAAGTTTTGTCTGCTTTCTTATCTAACATTGCGGTAGTTCATATGCTTCAAAGTTTCTGGCATGACTTTCAATGTTCCTGCAACTCTTATCTAAACTGTTAAGAGTATCTTTTACGCTTGTACTTGGATTTTCTAATGGTGCACTTGAACCAAGGTCAAAGTTCAATATTATGTCGTCTGCTCTAACAGTAGTGAAGGATTTATGTGTATGGTTCTTGTCAGCTTTACTGTCTAATGTAGCTTGAAGTTCATTTATATCGGAGATGTTGTGTTTATGAGATTTCAAAACTTTGTTCGTTGCTTCGAGTTCAACTTTGTCAGCTTTACTTTTAATAGCATCTTCAAACGTTATTTTTGCCTTAACTCTTAACATAAATCTTGGTTCAACTAATACACCGTTAACATTGAAAGTAGAGGCATAAATTTCACCGGTATAACCAAATGCTTCTGGTGCTTTAGCTACATCATACTGTACAGTACAGCTTATGTCATAACCTTTAGCACGAATGTATTTATATCTTCTTTCATTAACATTTTTTGTCTTCGCTTCATCACTTCGTGTTAAATATCCATGGTAGTCCGTTATAATCTGTTCGTCTGAAGTTATATAATGAACATGGTTCTTGTCCGCTTTACTATTTAATGTAGCTTGAAGTTCATTTATATCGGAGATGTTGTGTTTATGAGATTTCAAAACTTTGTTCATTGCGTCAAGTTCATTTTTGTCCGCTTTACTATTTAATGTAGCTTGAAGTTCATTTATATCGGAGATATTGTGTTTATGTTCTTTATCTGCTTTTTCGGCTAATTTCTCTTCTATCTCATTTATTTCAAGTTCATGCCTACCACCACCTCCCGAAGAAGTATTTTTCTTCAGCTCTTGAAGAACGTCCACTTCGCCATCTTTGGTGTCAATAATGAGACTTTGAGTTAAAACCTTTCCTGTCTTAATGGATGTTTGTAAAACTTCTTCTTCACCATGTTCGGGGTCATGGTCGTCATCATATCTTGTGAAATCAGAGATGTTGTCATACATTAAGCATATCTGTCTCAAAAGTTCTGCTATTTGAAACTGGAACGAAAGATATACAGAACTTTCATCATCTCCTAAAGTCAAGTCTGCTTTCTTAAGTATTTCTTGAATGTATGCAATGAGAACAGAGTACCTTGGAAAATATTCGAACAATATTTCATTAGCTGTTGGTTTTGGTGGTTCTTTTGGAGTTTCTGTTGTTTCAGTTCCTTCTGTAGGTTCTGTTGGAGTTTCTGCATCTCTTGACTTCAATGCTCTTGCTCTCAAAGACCTAAATGTTAGAGCACCGGGTTTTACAAAGGACTTTATAAATGCTTTAATAGTTCCTGGTAAGTTATTGTTAGCATTAAGTAAGTTCCTTATGCTTCCATCATGTACGTCCATAGCACTATGTAAAAAATCTATACTTTTCTTGTAGTCAGCAATAGACTGACTGTGATTTTTTAAAGATTTGTCAATACCTTTAAGCCAATCTTCATGCATGTCTGATACTGAGCCAAGAATATCATTTGCTTCCTTTAGTGTATTTTGTGCTTGTCGTAAAGTATCCAATCCCGTACGTGCATTGTTTGCTATACGTCTTACAGTATCTATTTGACTCCTTGTTTCTTGCATCCAACCAGATAAAGTTTTAATAGTATCCGAACCATTTGAAATGAAGTTCAAAGCATTTTTAACGTCATTTAAAACTTCTTCACCAAGTACCGCCCATATCTTTCCGATTTGGTATTGAAGAACTCCATATGAAGCAGCTGTTAAACCAGTATTTATAAGGTCCCATATCCATGATTTAGCAGTTTTTCCATCCTTTCCATCCTTTCCATCCAAACCGTTTTCGCCTTGAGGTCCTTGTATTCCTTGTATTCCTTGTATTCCTTGTATTCCTTGTGGTCCTTGAGGTCCGGTGTCACCCTTCTCTCCTTTCAGTTCATCTTTATGTTCGTTATAATATTCTAATGTCATAAGGTGTACATCATTACTGCTACCAGCAACGCCGAGAATTTGTTTCTCATTCATGACTAAATTCTTTAGGCATTTAATGTTGTCGTCAAATCGAAAGCTCTTTAACAATTCAATGAGAACATTTAATACTTTCACTAATGAGGCATCTACTGTAGAATTTATATATTGCACCGTTCCATCATTTATGATGGGAACCTTGCTTGTTGTAATGAATGGGTCATAAGTGTTAAAAGTATCGAAATCAATGACTTTTTTAGTTTTTCCATCGTCAATGACTAAATCATTGCCTTCAATGGTTAAAGTTGAGTTTTCGTTTACTAGTTCATGTGCTCTTCTTGCTTCATTTGTTTCATACGCATATGCAGCAATAGTCATATTTTAATGAGAATAAAATGTTGTTCTATTTGCAAAGTACAGACCCAAACGAATACGGGACAGTAAAGCTACAAACAAACTTAGGTCTTCAGAATGAAGCGCTTGCTTTCAGAGTTGTTGACTTCAATACTATCGCAACTTTTGTCATAACAGATGAAACAGATTTCATAGAGTTGAAATAGATGACAAAAGAAGTTTTAACATTTCCTAACAGAGCCGAGTACAGAATAGATAAAATTGCTGGAGTCAGAGATACTCTCATAAATGAAGAAACTATTGACAACATAGATGTCGAACTCTCTTCTGAGGGAACATTGAAGTTCAGTAGCAAGAAAGAGTTCAAGATACCAAGAATGAGTCATAGAGTACAACTTCTTTGGGAGCATACCATATGACATTTCCTTTGAAAAGTGTTGACAAAACGATTGAGATGAAATCTGTTCCATACGTATGTTATGGTAATTGTTTGTACGTTGAGTCAAAAATAGCTAATGTCACAGGTATTTCAGGAGTTAATAGTAAAGGTTCAGTAGAATATAAATCCTTCTGTTATGCAGTCAATTCAATGTTCATTCCAAACGTTCCTGTCATAGCAACTCATTTAGGTAAATGGGTTCGCATTAGTCCTCATAATTTGAAAGACATGCAATTCAGACTTGTTGACTTTCAAGGAGAGCCTGTAGAACTGAAGGCACCAGTGCGAATGACTGTTGAAGTTGACTTTTTAGAAAATATTAAATGCAACAGCTTACAAGAGAACTCAGAGCTAAAAATATAAAGTATGAATGTTATGTATTAGGTCATGAACTTTGGTTGTTGCTGTTTGATGAAACAAATGAGTTAGTTATGCAGTCAAGAGAACAGAAAAAGGCGTCAAAGGCGCCGAGCGCAAAGCGCTATATTGTGTTAGTGAAAACTGCACCAAGTCAATAAGATTAGGTTTGCATTATGAAGATGAGTTCGATACTGTTGAAGAAGTTTTGGACAGATATTACAAATTGCTTTAATTTACTAAAACATATTTCAAGCAAAGTTTATATTCTGTTGAAAGTTTTGTATACTCGTTCGAATATTTATACTTAAACTCAACTCCTGTAGTTCCTGGTGTTTCAATGATGCGGATGTTACCTATTTTCATGAATAGTGGAGTTTGACCACAGCATTCGATTTCAGGGTCGAGATAGTCAATGACACATTGTTTCCCTGTTATTCGTGAGATAACATTTTCAAGGTCCTCCTTTGTTAGAATTATTTGGTTCTTACTTATAAGATTTGTCAAAAGCTTCTTATCGTCTTTGAGTAAAATTGTTTGGTATAACTGAAGAAGGTAATGGTCTACGTTATCTGAAGGATTTGTTTGAACATTTGTGTAAGGGTTGTCGTTGGCTTCTCTTGAAAGAATTTGGTCCAGTGGTGGATACTCTAACTTAACATCTGATGTAGCGTTAGCGTTTGAAGCTGTGTTTAAATTCACGGATTTCAGCTCTGGTTCTTTTTCTTTCAAACACTCTGAACTATAGTTCTTTATGACAATATTGTTTGTCGTTCGTGAGTCAACATTTGATGTTGGTTCAATTGGAACATTAACGGCACCAGCTAAGATGGATTTGCTTCTCATTTCATATAGAATAAAAACCTTTTATATGTATGAAATGAACAATATACTCGACAAGGGTTTGAATGTAAAGCTAACGAATGAAAATATTGTTGAATTCACTGAGACAGGAGCTGTGTATAAAGATGTAGAACTACTGAACAAAAGAGCTAAGGGAAGAAGCAGGAACATGAACAAAGGGTGGAAGCCTATAAAAATTTATGTCAATGATGGCTCAGGAGGTTCAAACATAAAGTATGCAGAAAGTTATAGAGTTTATGCTCTCAAAGGTGAAAAGCCTTCATTTAAGAAC